GTTTCTAACCTCACAATAGTTTCTTGGTGGTACCTCCATTTTATGTAGGTCTGTTCAGCTGAGAAGTGTTTAGAGCTGCTTGTTCACATTCGAAAGTGCAGGTAAATTATCTTCTTAATATGTGGATACTGATTCAGTAGGTCTGGGGAGGGGCTTGAGATTCTGCTTTTCTAACAAGTGCCCAGGAGCTAGTGGTGCTGCTGGTCTGGTCATGATGCTTTGAGTGGCGAGATTTTAGGTGATATGTCCGATAGTTGCTACTGTATTTTAGGTTTTAAAAGACACTCTCTGAAAAAAAATTAAATGAAGCCCGGGTAACAGGAAGCTAGGATGATTCTCACTGCTAAATGGTCACATGGCTTTGGGCCAAGAGGGAGATCTTACAAGGTGAGATCTCAAGAGCAAGCTGGCAGAGAAAAGCAGTGCCAAGCAGCCTCCACCCCATGGAGGAGGCAGAAATCAGCCTGGATCACCACATCAAAGTGCTGATGGCAAACTCAGGTCTAATCAAGGCCATTTCAGTAATGAAGTGTTACAATCTGGTTGATGGGGTCCAGAAATAATCGTAATTGAACAAGAGGAAGTGATTCATTCCAAATGTTTTAATCTGGATTGACTGGATCCATCCATGTTTGGGTGGCAAGAGACAAAGTCCAGGTTTGAGGTATCTGTGCCCCCATTAAACGAGCTGAGGCTGTGAGCAGGTTGACTACTAAAGAGAACTATACCAGGGCAGAAGTCCAGTAAATCGGGATGGATGGACATGCAGGTCGAGGGTTAGGAAGAAAGCCCAGTGGGATTTAGTAGCTCATCCAAGAGACACCAGATGCTGGGATTAGGGAAGCAAAGCTAATTCCATACCCTGAACATCAGCTGTTAATGCACTATCAGAGCTGTTTCCAGTTAACTCACGAATTGAGTAAGATTGAGCCTGAAAACATGTATTCAATATCTAGAGCTAAGTGGTGTTTTAAGAAAGGAAGGTGTGGTGCTGTCAAATATTGTGTACCTACTAGATGCTAGGCACTCTGCCAGATGCTTAATAGATGTTGTACTTCTTACATATGATTAAAAGATTTTGCTCTGGGAAGATAGGAGAATGAGTAAAATGTAATCTTTTGAAGTTACTAGTTATATGGGCAAGTCAACTATTGACATAATTACAAGTTCTCAGAATTGCCTAGATGAAAGGGGAAGTATGAAAGCAGAACTGCCTGTGGCCTTCATACACTTGACTGAATACAAGTCATTCAAATCAGCGATTAGTAGGAAGAATAACTGTTGAATAGAATCAGGAGCAGGATCATTGTCATTAAAGAACGTTTGCATTAAACCCGGGGAAAACACTCTAACAGGAAATGCAAACGTTAACCTCATGATTATGACAATGCTGTTCTTTCTCAAGGGAAATAAGTAATCACCTTCCTCTCCTGAGAGAACAACTGAACTGGTGAGGAGCTATCTTGAATGATCTCTGTCCCCATCACTTAACCTCATTTGGCTTCTTATTGCCTTTTGAATTGCCTTATCAAATCGCACTGAAGAAGCAGACGAATGTATTGTCCCTGTTCAGGAGTTTTGAAAAATGGGTCTTGCAAAATATAACTTCGACATATGGGGGAGATAAATAAAAGTCCAAGTGATTACAAAGATGATTCCTGAATTGAGCGTGGCGGTGAGAACATTGGCACGCACAGAGCTGAGCCTGGTTGTGGCACTGTGTGAAGTCAGCAGGGTCCAGGACCCCCTGAGAGGGTTAATGTAGCCCCGCCTTCAGTAACTATAAAACTGATTTTTACCAGGATGGCAGCTCACCTGACAAAATAACCTACCCCTTGGTTACACCAAAAAGGGAGTTCTTTACATCTACTTGTGGCCACATGGTATTTTCAAGGCATACAGTCCAGCCAGAAACTCTAAGCTAACAATATGATAGGGGACCTTTCATGGTCCAACACTCAGAAATATTTCCCTCACTGATGCCTGAAATTTCAGTGATGTCTACCTTCATTTAGCAAGCTTGGGCTGTACAACCTTGCCAGTATGGGAATTCTTATTTTCTCTTAAGTACTCTGTTTGCAATTAGAGCAAATTATTGCTGGTACCTTATATGATTACCAATTTCCAAATGCTAAGCATGCCTTAAGTTGGATACTTGACTCAAAGGGAATAAGACAGCATATGATTTTCTTCCTTAGAAAACCATAAGTAAGGATGTTGTTGTACCGAGGTTCTGTAGAGAAATAGAACTGATATGTACAGAACTCATTTATATCCTATAATGTTATGTATTTTATGCACATATAAAAGACCTTATATATATTGTTATACAGAGTGGAGAAAAAGTAGATTTACAGTTGTGAGTACATAAAAGTTTATTCTTATATTATTATTTATTAATTATTGTATTATTTTTTTCTACAAACTGTAAAACTATTTTTGCCACCCCTCTGTATGACAAAGACCTTTGGAGAGCATGACCATGGTTTTCAACATAGTAATTAATTATATTATTAATTGATTATATATATATATATGTATATGTACACATACACACATATATATATGGAGAAAGAGATTTTAAGGAATTAGTTCATAGAATTATGGGGACTGCCAAATCCATAACCAATAGGGCAGGCTGAGAGGCAGGAAATTAGAAAAGACATTTCAGTTATGAATCTGAAATCTATACCACAGGCCAGGCAGGCTGGTGACTGAAGCAATGCTTCTGTTACTATTGTAAAACTGAATTCCTCCTTCTTTGGAAAACCAATGAGCTCTTAAGGCTCTCAACTTATCAGATGAGGCCCACCCTCATTATGGACAGCAATCTGCTTTACTCAAACTCTACCAATTTAATATTAATCACACCCAAAAAGTACCTGCTGCATGGGAACATTTAAGGCAGTGTTTGGCTGAACAACTTGGGCACCACAACCTAGTCAAGTTGACACATAAAATTAATCATCAGTTACATTCATGTGGAGTATAGAACCTAACTCATATTTCTGAAAAATAAAAGCATCTAATTCCTTCCTAATAATTTTATCAATCATTGCTTAATCTAGTCCTCACTTTTACCTCTGGGCTTGAGTTTCAGTATATTCAGCCTTTCTAACTGCCCATAAGCACTTCCAGGCAGCTCCATTATGCCACTTGTCCTGTGCCGTAGATCGAGGACCGTTCTCCATCCGCACCAGGCAGGGGGTGCTGACGATGACAGCATTTTTGTGGAGTGTCTATTTGCCCTACTTGTCTTCAGGTTCATAAAATTCCACCAGCTTACACTTTACACATGAACTGTTGTAAATAGTTTACAATATTAACTCATTAATCCTATCACCCATGAGAGTGGTACTTTGATGATCTCCATTTTGTTCTCCAATTTGAGTAACTGGTTGAAGGTCACAGTGTCAATTGGTGGCTCTTAACTATTCTCTTAATTATTAAACATGCATGTTCTGTTACATCCAGCCATGGCTTGAAAGAAGCCAGAGATGAAGGTTGCACCCCCTCTGCTTATCATTATTATGAATACTGATGAGAAATGTTTACTAGATTATTGTAGCTATCTTTAAAGTGAATGTGGTTTAATCATCTCTTTTGCATTTGGAATACAATCAGCCTGAACTGTACAACTCTAAAACTCTTTGAGTTCATCTTATAGATATTTCAAAAATCCTATTGACTTAGTAATGGAGATCATTTGGAGACAATGAGCACGAGTTTTAATCCACATGGTCCATGTTGTCTATAGACATGTGAACAAGCCCAGTGATTGTTCGACACACACATAAGCATTAACGTCTTGACTGGGGTTTTTGGTTACAGGAATGTGGTTCTGCACCATCATAGCAACAGTCTAAAATAGACCACTTCATCCAAAGATAAGTTATGGTGCAAGGCAACTGTATGTCATGTATGTGGAAGCGGTGCCTGATTTAAAACAATATGCTTACAATCAAATTGAATCAGCTTAGCAGAAAAACTTATAAAGGTTGAAAATTCACCCTTGCTCCCTTCCCCACTTTTTTTTTTTGGTTGTTAGCAAACTGATGTAGAAGAGACATATTCTACCCTGAAGGAGGCTACTGTCTCATCTGATAAATTATTAAGCTCCAGTGAATGTATGTCATCACCCTCAGGAAGGTCAAGTCCATCTTTGTCACTCTTGGGGGATTGGGCATTGACACTGGAAGAGGACTTGACAACTAATAACCTTTTCCTGGACCTTCCAAACTTTGCACGCAACTTCCCGATAAAGATCTTCATGAAGACCAGTCTTTTCAGTTTGACAGGGTCTGAAGAAGAAGCTCATCAAGCACTTTGACACTTTCACGTTGTTCATAATAACTCCTTGAAAAACGTTAGGTTTTGCTGCACTTGCAATCACTGAGCCAAATCATAAGAAAGTGGATGTGAAATATGTGACCCTCACATATACTGCATTTGGTTTTATTCTCTCAAAGATATATGTGTATGAAGGCAATTTATATAAGGCCGGGTTTGATTAAAAGAACACACCATTGATGTTCACTGGGTTTAGATCAGATATCTTTTACTTTATAGTGTCTTTTATTCTAAAGCTGGCTAGTCACATACGGGCATGTTGTTAAGGTAGGTTAATTATAACAGTGAAGGGGAAGAAGTAATCTATTCCCTTTCTTCTGTGCAAAATTCCAAAGACAAAGCTAAATTGGACTAAAGGTAGATTAGTAGCTAGTAGAAAGGACAATCTCAAATGCACATGGTATTTCTTATCCAGGTGTTTGAAAATATGAGACACATTTATACTCTGCCCAGTTGTATGGTTTCAGGTCTTCTTGAGGTATTCAATTCTTTTCATTCTCTCAACGTCATTTTGGTTTAAAAATACAACACTACATTTACATCCCACAACCAAAAACCTTGGAACAGCATTAAAATTATAATTAAGCATTATTATTTCATGCATTCAACAATACCAATTTCAAGGGACTACACAAACAAGATTCCTTTAAGTTGTTTTATTGATGATAGAAACAGTACATAATTAAAGATCTGATGAAGAACCCGCAAACAACGAAGAATGTGTCTATTGCTAGCAAAATACAATTATTCCAGGTCCTTTAGACACTGCAGGATTCTTTCACACCAAATGGTTCACATGTAACAAAGCCATTTTTAAAGGTCATTTGTACTGCTACTAAACCTTCAAAAAACGAGGTAGTTTCCTTTACCCACTCTGTTTTCCACATTTCCATCAGCATGCTTTTAGTGAGCTTAAATTCCTTTTAACATAATCTTTTAACATTTTTTATAAAAGCCAATCCTTATTTTTAAAGATTTTATTTATTTATTTTTAGAGAGAGGGGAGGGGAGGAAGAAAGAGAGGGAGAGAAACATCAGTGTGTGGTTGCCTCTTGCACATCCCCTACTGGGGGACCTGGCCCACAACCTAGGCATGTGCGCTGACCCAGAATCAAACCAGCTACCCTTTGCTTTGCAGGCCCGCACTCAATCCACTGAGCCACACCAGCCAGGGCCCTGGAAATAAACCAAGTGTTTATTTCCTTCTACTCGATTTTTCTTAAACAGAATTTCAAGAATCACTACACAACTTGTGATATTTGCAATTAGCAATGGCTGTGGTTTTTCATTACAATCAAATTTCGATATGAGAACACGTTTTGAAAATCCCAAAGTTGATATTCTCCTCTATCGTTAAACTCTGATTTAAAAACTACTTTCTTAAATAAGTTATTTTCTCAAGTAAGAACCAATTCTTCAAAATGGTGGGCTAGGCTCCACATACTAGCTAGCTGAGTGGATTGCAGGATCATTCATTCTCATCATCAATGGGGAAGTAATTTACAGACGCACACAGAGGTGCTGGCTTATTTTTAAGATGATTCAAAATCTACTTACAGCCATACTCTTGAGAGAATTCCTGCATTCTTCAAAAACATATCAAAGAAGTAGAAACTGAAGCAGCAGTCTGAATTCCTTTCGTAACCCTGGGAATGACTTTAACAACCACGTGAAATTAGCTTGAGGGAACTGCATGTTGTCGCACATTTTAGTGAAACAGTAAATGATAACATCCAACTAATTTCCAAATCAGTCAATCTTCACCAAGGAAGGGGGGTATTGGTAAATACTATTCCTAAGGAGGAAAAATAGTCCCAGTCTAATCCAGTCACAGTCTGCTCCTTGTCACTTATGCTTTTATTCAGCCTCAAGAAGCTTCACAAATCTGAGAATAAGACCACTGAAGAAACGCCACAACAGACCATGTAGACTATGCAGTTATACAATAAAGCGTCATTCAAATAGGTAGTCATCTCAGCAGTTTCCATGGAACACAACCCTCAAATTATCACCTGATGACCACAGCCTAATCCTCATGTCTGATGAGCTGCCACTGTATTTGGTCACTTCCTAATTGGCACGAGTCTCTGTGTTTGGCACCTGTGTTGAAAGCTGAAGATCCCTATGGCTGGCAGAATAAGAAAAAAGCTCCTTTGGAAAATGCAGAAGCAAGCCTGATTATTTCTTTCTCTACCTCCAGTTATTCTTCCTCTGACATCTTCTCTAGATAAATTTTCCTCCATAAATCACTAATGGGTAACAAGGAACCTAGCCACTGTGGTAGTGGATATGCAGAGAAATCTGTCAAGGAAACTGCATTTTAATTCATTCCCATACCACAGCTTAGAGTTGACCTTACAATCCCAACAGCAGATTCAGTAAATTAAACATCATGCAACTTAAGTTTTAGGCTTTACTAACTGTATTTATTGTGGGGTAAAAAATATATACTTTTAACAGCATAAGATTACCTAAAACTTCAGTACTTGCTTACACTTAGCAGACTTCAAAAACTACTTCATTTTCTCAAACTAAAAATTTTATGCCCATTTTCTGACTAAAAATTTTAACATTCATTAAAGCAAATGTATACCGATATATGGTCTCAAGGAATTATTTACCCACAAACAGTGCTATAGCCTTTTGATACATTTCATTACCAGCTTTCTTCCCTAAAATATCTCAGTCTTTTATTATGATATGTATGCTGAAGATGAAAATAAATCACTTTCTTCTACCTTTGTATTTTTAAAGGGCTTTTTGGCAAGAATAAAAATGAATCTCTTTGCAATAATTTAATTTACCTTTATTTTAAAAGCTCAAACTGTGAAGAATCATTATTAAAGTTAGTCTTGCACCTATGTTTTGACTAGCTAGATCCACTATTTTCAAGCTAATGCTCTTTAAACAGACATTCTCCCCCCAAAATTCACACTAGGAACATTTTGTTTCAGTATTATCTAGCTCTGAGGTCAGCAAAGATGCTGTAATTCAAGGTGTTTCTTTGTTAGGTGCACCATGACAACTCAACGGTGCTCCCGGAAAATGCGGCTGACAAATGGGCTAAGGGCTGACAGTAAGTAGTAAACCAGGAGGAGGCGATTCGCACAACAGGGCAGTGGCTGAATAACTCCTAACTACTAACCAGACTGAGGAGTTTTGACTAGAGGAAAAAAGAAGTACTTTAAAGGGCAACTACCCTTTAAAAATGAGGTGAAAATATTCATTGTAATTTCTCATTAAGAGATGTGTTCTGGTCTTTGTCTCCGTATTATCATACTGCATTAAATACTGCGTTTTTGTTTAACTAGTAGCATATAGACAACTTGAGGGAAGTATATTATATGTACTATTTATTTTCTAAAACTAACTTCCTAATCCGTATTGCAAGTTGGATTAGATGTACATATGAGTACTCAATCAACATTTATCAAATTAACTGATCAAATTACTACGATCTACGTGATCCTCATCAATTAATAGACTATGGTTATTGAAAAGCTGGTACCCTTAGCCTCCTTCTCAAAGAGAGGTCTGGGAAAGAGGTAGCTGAACAAACTCTTCTAGGGAAGACAAGTGACAAAGCAAAGTGTCTACTAAAATTACTTGCCAGCATTACTGTGTGTAACTAAGATTCTGCAAATCCACATTACAAGGAAGAATACTTTGATCATATTTAGAATTAGGACATGAAATAGGTTCTCCTTACAATGTTTCTCCAACCCCTGGCTAAGCCCTTTGCTTTAATGTATGCAATGAATATTTATGACTCCAATATTTTCAGTATCAGTCCTTGAAAGTGAACAAATGCTATCATTTTCTGCTTAAAACACATTTTCCCCAATCATAAGGGTAAACCGAACACATAATTTCAAAAATAAACTTTTGAAGAAAAAAAGAACACGATGATTGCCCACCAAGGGGGGAAAATAAATACGCTTGTTTCGGCGGCTGATTTATTTCATAGCACAAAGCCCTAAAGCAGAGTTCAAACTGCAGCTTTAATAAGGGGCTCCTACTATTCTTTTGACTAAGATATACTCATTAATTGCCTTCAAGTGCCCAAGAATGGCCTGATTTGAAGAAAGCAAGACCTCTTGTTTAGATACAATTGTATCAACCAACAAAACTGATATGGTGAGGAATTTTAACCCAGGGTGTATGTACATAATGTAAGCCTCTGGAGTGTTCACATTACATGTCCTGTAGTTGACAAAGCTCTGCACTTTTTTGCTGCTACCTCTGATCCTTTTTTTTTTTTTGCTTACAGAAATCTTTTGAGAAAAGAATAAAGGCTGTTTACCAGGGAAGAAAAACACTATCCCTTAACAAAGTGTCTCAGTGACTTCTCTTTCCCTTTAACTTTTCCTGTATATTTTTGAAAGCAAAGGGGAAAGCAGGCATTATTAATTGATTCATTCTGCCAGCTGCATGGGGCACATCCCTGATGTAGACCCTTCTTTTGGTGCCATGAGTTAGCCCTTAATAAATCACTGTAACTTAGAATATTTCCAACAGCAAGTATCTTCAGGAAATGCTCATGTCTATGTTGGAATGCTTCATTTAAAAATTTGGTTTCTATGGATCTGCTGGAAAAAGCTGACAAACTTGGTCTGAAAAAAAAAACCCCTGAAAAATGTGGGAGGAAGAGAACATGCAAAATAAGTTAATCATTATCATTTCAAGTGCCACCAGTTCTGTTTCTATTCATGCACATGTGAATTGCTGAATCTCATTTGATCAACCAATTAAACATTAAATAATTGCAGCCAATTATGCAAATATCAGCAACAATATTAATTTGTTGATCTTTTTGAGCAGATTAGCCTTACATGTTCCTAATGCTACACTATCTTACACCTTAAATGATCAATTAGTGTTACGATAACTAAGCCCTGAAGAACAGATAATTGCCTAGTTATAATGTGCCACTCTCGCTGTATTAATCCACGACAATTAAACAAATAGTGCAGAAGGAAAAAGGATGTGCAGATGTTCCTTTTAAATCTACTTAAGTTAGTGTCAAGGTCAATTTCCTGTCTTATTACTTAAAGGAGAATGGCAGATTGTGTTCTCTGTTTTAGGATACCCTCAGTTTTTTAAAATACAGATATAATGTCAAAACGTTGTCTTGCCATACTAAATTTAGAAATGCAAAGTATCAAATGCATTTATGGCAAACAAACAATTTCCATTTTTCATAGAAATGTGAGCCTGGTCACTTATGTGCTACCTAACAGGTTAAAATGACCTGGCAGTCTTTTCTAGAGTACTCTATTAAAAGTGAGTGGGAAGCAAAGGACAAACGGACAGTGCCAGAGGGGGTGCAGGTGGGGGACAACCAGGGAAAGAAGGGGAAGGGTCAAGTCAAGGAACAGGTATAAAAGACCCATGGACAAGGACAATAGAGGTGGGGAGGATAGAATCTGGGAGCGGGTGGCAGGGCAGGGGAACAGCAATGGGGCAAAAACAGGGATAAACGTAATTAAACAACAATTACATTAAAAAAAAAACGAGTTCCCAGGACTTAGCCAAGACAATACATACCCTTAGAATGTTACTTGGAGAAGGAGTACAGAGAAAGTTAAATCACCTAAGGCCTGCAAAGAACAGGTACTTCAGATCAACAATTAAAAGCCCCCTAAAAATATTTTTACCATTCTTTTTCATGTTATACTTCCCTAATTTTCACTTTACTCTTCCTATCTAAAAAGACCCCATGGCCAAAAGTCTTGGGAAAGAATCAAAGCCCCATTTGCTATGTGCTGCTATGTGCCTTAAGGAAAATTTTTCAATGCACTGAACTTTTAGAAAGTTTTTCCCTTGTTTTGAAAAGAGAATAAAATATGATCAGCAAGATGAAAGTTATTAGTACTGAAGGAAACCCAAATATAATGTCTAAGAGTTGACCTTTCAAGGGTAAATGTAGCCTATTTTACTTTCACTTTCTCCTAAATAAACCAGGATACAATTTTAACTCTGAGTTCCTAAACAAGGAAAATGACACTTATAATTGCATTCACTGTACCCTAATCACGTGTTCATCTCCCCATTCAACAGAAAAGAGCACCTATAAAATCAAAAGTACAGAAACCATAGTATACCTCTCTTTGCTTACTACTAACAAACAAGCTGAGATGATTTATTTTGTATTTAACACTTAACATACAACATTTGTCATTTCCATTTTGTTGGTACGATACTATGACTTCTCTGTAGAGTTATAACTTAAATTCCAAGACAGTCTTTGCACATGAAGTTCCATTCTTCCAAGGAACTATGCTTCTGAGTATCTCTAATGACTGAGCAGCCCATGGAAAATAAAGACTTTATGAGGTAAATATGCACAATGTCAGAATCAATCACAATTCTAATAAAGAGGTTTCATAATATAGAAACAAAGAAGGTTCACTTCTATAGAAGGTAAATATTCATTTAGTCATCATTTACTGAGTACCTATTACGTGCCAGGTGTCGGCGATACAAAGATCTCTAAGGCACAGACCCCAGTGATGTAGTGGAGTCTACCAAGCAGCCAATGACATACAACACAACACAGGAAGGGCGATGCTGGGAATGTGCACGGGTCCTGCTGATGCATGAAGAGACCATGACATCAGGGAGACAGGAGGGATGCCCCTTAAGATGGACTTGGGGGCCTGCAAAAAAATGTGACATGAGGAAACACAGGTCTTCAGAGTCTCGACTTAACATAACAAAACACCTTCTGAGGACAAAAACGTGGCACAGGAAGTGATACCTCTGAAATTTACTCAGGTCAGCTTCTAAACACACACAACAGAACTCACTTGGTTGAGCAGCAGAATAATACTTACGCTAAAGAATAAACACTTTTGTATCTGAGTGAAGTACTAAGGGAGGCACCAAGGATACTGACAGAAATTCTATGCTGTATGGCTTACATCATTATTATCTTTCTAGGACGGTAAGATAGGCTTCTACTACTAAGTTTACAAAACACCATTTGATGATTGCAGTTTATTTTCTCTGGCATGAGGAAACAATCACCTTCCTAACACGGATAATATAAACTACATTACACACAACTAAAAACAAGTAGCCAAAGAACATGTAATTTGAAAGCAACACTCTGTCCCTGTAACATACAGATAGTATGCTGTATTTTCCATTCAGGATACGATGATTGTCCAGTCACTCTCTTCTCTTCCATACTACAACAAAAACAAGAAAATAGCCTTTAGTGTATAAGCTAAGAGGTTGTACAAAGGGTTCACTTATGTTTCGAACATTAAAAGTATATACACAATAAAAATAAGATTAGACAGAAACAACCAAATACCTGGAAAGAATTAAAAATTGTTTAATTCTTGTTGAACTCAAGTTTATAGTTGAAATAGGTCCCTGATAGATTTAAGGGCATGACTTTGCATTACCATTCTGTATTTAGCTTCTGCTCTCCACACTGAGTTGAATTATTATCTTTACTCTGAAGCCGTGATGCTCAAAGTGTGTTCCTTAGACCAGCAGCACTGGCGTCACCTGGCAAGATGTTAGCAATGGGCAGCTTCAAGCCCCAACCCAACTTCCCGAATGGGAAGCTGCAGGTGTGTCCTTGAAACCTGTGGTTCAGCTCGCACTTCAGGGGACTCTGATGGGAGCTGAAGTTTGAGAACAACTGCTCTAAAATCCCCTTTCTCAAGAGCATTTTATGTTCATGGACAATATTATATTGACAAGCCCAAGTGGATCTGAACAGTGACTTTATTTTCTAAATGAAAATTGTTTGTATTATGTTAGTGTTTCAGGTTTTCTTATCCCTTCAAGAATCATGGACCTGCAGCATAATCACAGTTAGATTATTTGCATCAGCAAATTTGCTTTAACAGACCTAAGTTTTAATATTTAAAACTGAAGTAAATGAAATATAAAGGTATTTGAGGTATCATAAATAGAAAGCCAGTTCTATATACATCCAATCATTCATTCATTCAACAAACATGCGTTTAAGTGAGTGTTCACCCTTTGAACAAGCATTGCTCGCCAGCACCAGCACACCAAGAGCCGTACAGACTGACTTCCTCATTTATCCCCACTGGAACCCTAGAGAGCAGGTGCCATTATCAATCCCGCTTTATTTTATAAATGAGAAAACGTTTATCAGGAAGACTAAATAACATCCTTAAGATTATGCTGAGTAAAAGGTAGAGCCCAGACTCCAGTCTGGGTCCCTCTCACCACCAAAACCACGTTCCTGGCCACCGTCTAGAGTTCCCTCCACAGGTCCACAGTCATGTATGGAGCCTGACTTGGAACAGACAGACCTTCCCAAAGTGGCATACCATGTATCTGCCACTCCGTGTTCGCCCATATCAGAGGATGGCCCCCACTCCCCATGAATTGGCTCTTTAGTCCTAATATGACTTAGTCTGAAATTGATACAAAACACCTGAAAACTCTGAGTCGAAAAGAACCTTACTGGTCATCTTATTTGAACAAACCAAATAAGTAGGGCTCTGGGTTTTACTTCTTCACCTTGAGAACAATTCCACTTTTGCTGGTTTTTTATACTGGGATTCCAGGAAAGATTTCTTTTGTAGAAAGTACCTCTGCTTAAAAATCAAATGGGAAGAGCAATGAACTCTTGAGGAAGCTTCTCATTTTATACATAAGGACACTAAGGGTCTAGGAAACTCGGAGTCATGAGCTCGGTTCTCCTGCCTCTGCTGGCTGCAGTTTCCGCTTCGTCACAGGGTCCAAGTGCTGTGTTCAAGACTTCGGAATTTCCCCAACTGGAAAAATTACTGGGGACCGCGAATGGGTCTACCTGCAAGCTTCTGGTTTAAATGAGAAGGAGAAGGAAGGAAGCCCAGTGACTGGCTTAATCCACATCAGAAATTGGTGTCTAGCCCTGGCTCGGTGGTTTGTGCTCTGGCCTGCAAACCAAAGATCACCAGTTTGGTTCCCAGGGGGTTGCAGGCCAGGTTCCCGGTGGGGGGCATGTGAGAGGCAACCACACAGTGATGTTTCTCTCCTTCTTTCTCCCTCCCCTCCCTTCTGTCTAAAATAATAAATAAATAAAGTCTTTTTTAAAAAATAAAAGAAATGGTATCTAAAGAGGGTGGCCTCCCACTATTGGCTGATTCACGATGAATGCTGAATAAAACATTCCAAAATTCTGCCGGATTTAGGTATGCTGTCAACATGATGGAAGGGAAGACTGAAATACGTGCTTTATTTTCCTTATTTGTATTCCCATGAATACATTACATACTTTTGCCATTAATAATACTTGAATGTGAGCATATTGGCATTTTAGCAGATCTATAGAACTGTGATTTATGACCCCTATAATTTCATCTTGAATCTCACTGGTTAAAGTAAACTTGCTTTCAATTAGTTGTTTTAGTTTTATAAGCAGTGGAAAATCAATTTGGGTTTCAGTGACAGTCATAGGTCATATTACTCTGTGAACCGACATAATATGTATTTAGTTCTCCCCCCCTCTCATCCTGCAATTCATGCTTTTATGTGAAATCACAGCACTCTGAGATGTATCCAAGAGATAGGATAATACAGGTAATTCATAATGTCTAGACCTAGGCAGTTAGCAATCAAACTTTTCATGTGGATGATGGATAATTCAATTTAATTTTGTAAGGAAAATAACTCAAAGTACAGATGGCAGATTGTAGCAGAGGTAAAATTATATGCTTTCCCAAGAATAGGTGTGCAGAGGAGGGGAGAAAGGACGATGCCAGCATGGGCTAGGCTGTGTCACTGTCAGTGTCATTACCGACCACAGCAGCAGGCCCATGCCTTGGACACCTGTCAGTCCTCCTGTCAGCCACAGGTACTTGATTTTGTTCACTGGGGTCAAGCATGGGGTTAAAGCGACACAGCCAATCACACTGAAGTGGGGGGAGGGTACTTTCAGCCTGTGTGAAAAACTGAGTAATGTGCAGAATTTTTCTTTTCAAGAATGCTCACTGAACACTCAACCAGAACATAACTAATGACAAGTTCATTACCTCACAGGCAACATACGTATGGCAAATAATTTTACATGGCCTTTGCTAAAATGCCTTTTATATTCAGCAGAGAATTCCTAGCAACATAAAAGGACAACCTGTGTGTTATGCACTCACTTTCTGTAATACCATAAGATATAATAAGCGCTGCCCACCAGGTAATAATCTGTTGTCCTTCTTCCTAATCCTATTCCATGGCCAAGCAAAGCTCTGCAATCCCATAACATGTGGGGACATGAGTATTAGGAAACAGGGAGAGGGCGAGAAGCTCGTCAAAGGACACGTCATCAGGGTGATCGGGAGACGTCCCCGCAGCACGTGCTGCAGCTGAAGGAAGGGCAGGACTTCTGCAGGGAAAAGGGATGGGGCTCTACCTCCTTCTGCAGCTGAAAGTCATCCAGCTGCTCCACTGTGCAGAAGAAAAAACCATAACCACTAAGGGTCATTTAGTCTTACAGGGCTGTAGCCACCAGTGGGGAAACAAATCAAAGAAAAAAACCTAATAACCTGCAAGTGATACAAATCCCACTCCTATCCTACTCATGCTTTTCTTGTCTTTTTTTTAAATCTTGATGTTTATTTATCGATTTTTTAGTTAAATTTACTGAGGTCACATTGGTTAATGAGATTATATAGGTTTCAAGTGTACATTTCTATGATACAGCATCAGTGAATTGCATCGTGTTTTCCTATTTCCACCTCTCGGTCTACACAATCACTGCTTCCCACCTTCTGAAACCTCACCAGCAGCTCTGCCAGTCACTCACTTGCTGCCCCTCATATTTAATACCTGGGTGGGTTCCAGCTTTTAGCTACTCCTCACAGCAATCCAAGGTGCATGTTGCTTTGAAAAATTCTAAATCAGGGTCTCCAAAAGTTTTTTTGAAGAATAATTTGGCATTATTCAAGACTTTCCTCTCACCTTTTTTCAAAATGTGTTAACATACAAGAGCAACAAGTTTTTTATTCTTTAGTATGTGCTTGCTCCACCGTTCGCGCATTCATTCCTCTCTCATTTGTTCAGAAAATGTTACTGAGTATGTTCTGTGGTCCAGACCTTGTGCTGATGGCTGGGGTTACAGAAAGAGAATAAAACAACTCCTACATTCAAATAGCCCTAGAACAAATATGAGTGTGTGTACCCAGAATATAATTTAAAGGCCATAATGTGATGATCCCAAGTACTACAGCAGCTGGAGAAAGCAGCATCACTTAAGTGGGTGAGTGTGTGTTTGTACTGGGGGAAGGGATGTTACTCAAGGGAGATTTAAAAGGCTCCTAAAGGATGTGTGTCTTGAAGTACAGCCAATACCTTATCAGGTGGGCAAACTGTTAGAAGGTGCAGAAGCCGAAAGGAAGCAGCAGACAGCAAAGCATATTAGACAATAGAAAAGACCCCCAGATGGTCGGAGCACAGGTAAAAAGAATGGTGAGTGGAAGAGCAAGGAATAATGGGAGAAAAAGAAACACAGGCAACATCAAGCAGGTTCCCCGAGTTTAAGTGCGGTGAAGTATGAGCACAGAAGTGTTTTTCTTTGTTGCTTAAAAAAGAAAAGGGAAAAAAAAGAAACTGCCATTTGAAATACTTCCCCCCAAAGAGGTATTTGTAGGGCAACCTAAGACCCAGGGAACTCTATGAATAATTAGCTAAGTGGGATGAAGACTTAACTTCACAGATGCTTTCTTACATATGGAAGTAAACAGGTTAAGTGAAAATCAAATCTGCATTTAAGAAGGAATTTTTCCCTCAGGGTCACCTTGGAAAGAATCTCACAGTTGGGGGTTTTTTTTTTGCTGTTTTTTGGTTGTTGTTGCTCTCCTCTTTTCCAATTTACCAGACATTTTGTAGGGAATATCCATATTTCCATGTAATGTCAAAGTGATCAAATGTGAAATGTGATGCAATTCTATGCTTTTTCCTCAATAACTACTTAAATTATTTCTCTTGGAGAGAAACAGACACCCTAGTAGCTTGGATGACAGCACCAATTTGCCATCTTGCAGGAGATTAATTTTGAAGCTTTAGGTTCCATACCCACAAGCATAAAATAATTGAAGAGGAAAGATGCGGTCTTAGATTCGGCATGATGGCCTTTCGGTATTTAACAATTTGAAACAGAGTTGGCGCTGCTGGTTTGTGGTTGAATTCACAATCATTGTTTTATTTCTTGCATTCTGTGTAACTAACTGTATCCTTTTGCTTCTTTGTTCAGTATGAGCTTTGGCTGTATCATTATGATACAGGGTGCAGCCAGGGGGGCCCCCCAAAAGATTTAGAAAGGTGTCCAGAATTCAAAGTGTATAGAAATATTGGAGAGACATATAAGATGTCCTCACCCCCCCCCCCCCACCAGGGGGAAGGGATGAATGGAGCCAGGCCATTGAGAGCTAGTTTGCATAGCAACAGTTTTGGAGCTAACCTCTGGAGGAATAGTTATTTAACATATCTATAACCTTTAACTGGTTTCATAGATATGTTAAATAGCAGTGGCCAAGTTGGGAGCCAGGAAGAAGGGGGAAGGTTGTGGCAGGGACTCGAGAAGGAACTAGCAGGGACTGAGGATGGAACTAGCAGAGACTCAGAATGTAACTAAGGGCAGCTCTCCTGAGTGAGTGGACTGGGACTCAGGAGAATGTAACTAGGGTAGGCGCTCCTGAGAAGGGAGAAGGTAGAGAGCAGCTTGGGGGCTCAAGATGGAACTAGCAGGGTCTGAGGATGGAACTGGGGGGACTCAAGATGGAACTAGCAGGGACTGAGGATGGAACTAGGGGGACTCAGGAGGATGTAATCAAGGTCTGCACTCCTGAGTGAGAAGGGCTTGAGGACTCAGGATGTAACGAAGGGCTGCGCTCCTGAGTGGGAAGGCCTGGGAGAGAGAGCCACGCGGTTTCAGCAGAGTGAGGACCCCCTCTTGGTGAGGTGAAAGAGGGAGCCACGTGGTTTTGGCCGAGTGCGGACCCCCTCTTTCTCAGGTGAAAGGGAAAAAACACGCAGCTTTGCCAGAATGGAGATCCCTGCAGCCAGGTGAAGAAGACAGCCACATGCTTTTGGTGGAGTGCGGACTCCTGCAGCTTTGGTAGAAGAGGCCCATGCGGCTTTGGGGTGCCCCCCTTTGGCCGCGGGGCCTGAAAAGCAAGAGAGACTTTGACCGGAACTGGGTACAAAGGACTCTTGCCAGTGGACCATGAGAGGGTACCACAGTACTTTGGATTAACTCGAGATCCTGCACAGTGGCACAGCTGATGGTGCCAGCGGCCTGCAACACAGACGTGTGCTCTTTTCCTGATTTACGGTACCCGGAGTTGGGACAGTGGGAGAAGGGGGCGCTGTGTGGGTGTAGGTGTATACCCTAAAGGACTTTGATATTTTAGTGGTGGCATTAGGCCTGAATAGCATTAAATAAACATTTTGTTTCCTTTTCACAAATCTCTGGCATTAAGAGATGTCTTTCCAATTGGCGGCGGACAGAAGGGCCCAGTAGATTTTAGTATTTTGTTTTTGGGAGGGGCCCCTGTTGTATAGCAGTTTTGGGCATCCCTAGGTGGGCCAAATATTGTATTGCCCCCCCCCTCGGACCTCCTCTTGTTCGGTAACAGTTTCTGTTTAATGTTACTACCGTTATCCATTGTACTTTACTACCTAGGGAAAAAAGAGAAATGATCAACTACTTCTTAGCCGCAGTCATTATACAGAGACTGTATACAGGTGAAACGAAAATGCATGTTTCTTCTCATTTTCTGCTCTCTGTCTAGTCATTTTTTATTCTTAAACCTTTGCACATGGTGCCACATTAACACTGAACATTAACTGTGACCTTCTGTGTCCGTGTGCTGTGGCTTCCCCAGCGTTTTGTCTCCCTTTTAACTACTGTACCACCAACACCTGAACAGTTTCTGGCACCTTGTTTGTGCTCAATACATGTATTTGTTGACTGAATGAACAAAACACACTCACTTCAGTCACCTACATGCTTGGCTTTTATCATTTGACTTTTAAAAATGCTCTTTCGGCCCTGGCTGGTGGGGCTTTAGTGGAATGCGTGCCGACGTCTAAGTCCCTGGTGAGGGATGTGTGAGAAGCAAACACACACTGATGTTTCTCTCCATCTCTTCTCCCTCCCACCACTTCTCTAAAAATAAATAAATAAAATCTTAAATAAAAAATAAATGCTCTTTCTGAGAATTTTTGCAATGGCTTCCCACCTTGCCCCAAATTTATGTCTTGGGGTTCTCTTCTACCTGAGGGTTCACAGGCATTATTTGTCCCCACCTCCAGGGAGACACGCATCCCTGCTCGGGCCTTGCTGAGCCACAGCTTCACGGACACCTCTACTCAGACATTTCTTTCCATGCCAGTTGAACTTGACTCCCCCTCAGCCTAGCCGAATACTTTTCCCTTTGTGTTGATCCTTTACAACCAAATCAAGTCAGTTCAAATTTTATTATTTTATATAATCTCCCAGAGGTAACCCTGAAATCCCATTTTGTGAATTAACTACTATAGAATGTAACGTTCTCTTTTGTACAAGTTGTTTGAGAACATTTTCCAAAGTGGTTTTTCTTTCTTATCACTATAACCACACTTCCTCTCCTCTGAAAGACCTTTCAACTTCTATTTTTAAGAAAGGCTTTTATAATCGAGCAAATTATATATTTTAGTTCTGTTTTTTTTCATTTGAGCAAAACACTGATAACATTACTTTTGTCAGGTTTACTTAGGAAACTCTAAAAAATATATAAACACCTGAAACACCCCTGAAGAAAGTTTTATTAAATTTCTCTAAGTTTCTTCTTATTGTTTCTATGTACACAAGTAGAAAACAAATCTGACTAGATTTTATGTCTTCAATATTAAGCTATCCCTTTAATTAATTTGCAGAGAATTCCTATGGAAAAATATTTGTTGAAGAGTAGAGGTAAGATAGCTCATTGATTCAATAGCCACTATTATTCCTTCCTTTTATTAACATTACCAGTTCTGCATAAAAGTTGCTAAGTATTCAAAAATACTGTTTATCACTGTCCAAGGACCTCAGTTGCTCTGGAGGGACCTGCAACTTGCCCAACCAACTGAATCTTTGCTTAGTGTTAAGGCCCAACACCATCTGATGTCACCCAAACTGTCAAACTGCATTTCGCGTTTCAGTAGAAATCTCAGCTCCCCTTAGGGATTTGCACTGACTGTGACCCACTGGCTCCACAACATCACTCAATAACTTTCTAAAGTATTTACAAATTATAGAACAGTCTCTTATTTCCTGGTATCTGATATACCTGCCTAGAAAGTTGCTTAAGTGCTTCGTGAGATATTAGATAGTGGCTCCAAAAACATAGGCAAAACAAAGTTAGCATTAAAAAAAAAAAGCGTGCATACCCTTGGACCCAACAATTATGACTCCAGGCATTTACCCGAAGTAAATAATCAGGGATGCACTGTTTACAGTAGTAAAAGAATTGCCACCAAGGTCAACGTACAATAATATGATTTCTTTCTTTTTGTAAGATTTTATGTATTTATTTTTAGAGAGGAGAGAAGGGAGGGAGAAAGAGAGGGAGAGAAACATCAGTGAGTGGTTGCTTCTTGTATGTTCCCAGCTGGGGGCCAGGTCCCCTGACTGAGAATTGAACCAGTGACACTTTGGTTCATAGGCCAGTACTCAATTCACTGAGCCACACCAGCCAGGGCTGATTTCTTTAAAAATTGTAATGCATAGATATAATAGAATTCAATTTAATTTCATATATGGAACTAAAGTTATTTCAGTATGAAAAAGAAAATGATGTATTAAGCACATACAAATGAAAAAGCACATAAAATTATGTGTGATACCATTTTGTTAGAAAATATATTTACCTAAAAATATATAAATGCTTTAAAATATTAAAAGTTGAGACATCAAAAATTAACAATGGTCAGTGTTGGAATCACAGGTAATAGTAAATTTTTCCTGTTCTTTCTTCTACTTTCAGGTTTTTTCTTTTACAAAAGTATTATATATTTTAATGAAATTTTTAGATTATGTGTGTGTGTGGGAGGGCGTAATTTGGAGCCCCTGACAATTATTTAATTATTTTCTTTCTTTCTTTTTTTGTTAAAAAAAAAAAAAAAAAAAAAAAAAAAAAACAAAACAAAACAAAACATTTCTTTCCCATCTCTGTGTTGCTCATGCCCACATATACTATCAGGAACATCGCCCTTAAATTTAATTCGTTGACCCCAAATGGCAGAATTTAGTCTCTTCTAGCCATTGAGACATGATTTGGTTCTATGAGCTGATTAAAATAAGATGAAAGAAGCCCTTACCTGAATATCAGTCAGTTTGCCCAAGATCCGGTTTGCCAGCTTAGGCCCATTCTCCATAGATGGGATGTGCAGAGTCTGTGAAACAACACCAAACACCAGATAATATGAGAATACTCACGCATACAGTGACAACCAATGAGACGCTCAGTGAGGCCGCTGTATTAAGGTGATTCCAATGAAATAAGGCACGGCCCTATTATAATCTGATTCTGTTAGCTCCTTATATCAAAGCCTCTTCTCTATGCCAAATTTGAATAAAAAGTAGCGAATAATGGGTTGTTCATTGCCCACCAACTGATTACGGGACACAACCGGTTTGTATACCAGTCTTCAGGACAACTGAGAAACTCATGAGCTAGGGATGGCTAAAATAGTGGCTAAACTTCAGAGAACCCTACCTCTTCCAGCATGCCTCAAAGGATAAATGGTTGGCCTTCATATCTAACCCTCTCAGCAGGAAATGAGAACTCAACGATATTTTGCCACAAATTAAAGCAAGTCTTTCAGGAACATAAATTAAAGCAAGTTTATGCCTCCACAAAAGGGGCTTCTAAACCGATCTGTGTTCCAGGGGCCACAACCTCCACAATGCTGGACAGCCTGGTTGAGTTCAAGGTTGAGAAAGATTTCTGGACCCTAATTTGTATTTCAGTCATGCCATCCATGCCTTGCTGACTTTCTGATCATTTGACTTCAGTAGACCCGTGTTCTCACCTTTCTTATTATGCCCTTTAGGATAATAGGATAATTAGACGTACCCTTTGGCTCTGAATGCCCTCTAAAACAAGACCATTAAAAACATGTTAAATTTTATAAACTCCTTATTTGTAGAGGTGAAATCATAATTGGACTTCAAAGTATCTGACCTAATGGCAACCATAGTTCATTAAAAAGTAGACCAACAACACATCTAGATACCACCATAATAAAATATGAGACAGTAGCTTCATAATCAGCGCAAGTACTGAATGATAATGAAATCATTCAACTCTACTGAAACCGTCTGTGCAAGGACTCAGACGGTCCTTGCACAAAATCAAGTTCAAAAACCTCAGGCAATGAAGCAGCCACCATTGAAATCAGCAGGGAAAAAAAAAATCAGTCCATCAGCTGAGGAAGAATAATTATGATATTGAACATTAAAACAATAGGATTTATATTTAATATAATTAACTTAAGCCAATTCATGTTTTAAGAACAATACCCACATGACTTTAAGTGATAAAGTTAGCTGATGACATTAATTGTAAGTATTGGATCTTTGTTATTATAATGTGAAAGCAAAAAATCCGACCAAACAATGGGAGAACAGCACCTATTATTCAGACTGGTTTATGGGGAGGAGATTGCTTCCAACCAAATGCCTGAACTCCTTTTGGAAGATTTCAGTAAATGCACCAGATTTGCCAAATATAAAATTCTGTGAAGTGCTCTAAAATAATTACAACAGCAATAATAGTGACAGTGATAAATGTAGGAGGTGATCATTCAAATGAATCTTCCGTAACTATTTGCCATTCCTACTCCACTAGTTTGGAAATACTTTATGAAAACTAGAAACTCAAATCTAACCAATGTCACCCAAACTATCACCCTTTGTTTCATGTTTCAATATAAATCTTAGCTCCCCTTGGCTATTTTCACTGACTGTCAATCATCAGCTCAACAATGGCTCAACCATTATCCAGTATACTTTACTACCTAGGGTAGAAAGAGAAATTATTAACTTCTTAGCCACGGACACTAAAGTATAGAGACTGTATACAGGTGAAAATAAAATGCATGTTTCTTCTCATTTTCTGCTCTCTGTCTATTTATCTTTTATTCTTAAACCTTTGCACATGGTGCCACATTAACACTGAGCATTAACTGTGACCTTCTGTGTCCGTGTGCTGTGGCTTCCCCAGTGTTTTGTCTCCCTTTTAACTACTGTACCACCAACACCTGAACAGTTTCTGGCACCTTGTTTGTGCTCAATACATGTATTTGCTGAATAAATGAATAAAGGACACTCACTTCAGTCACCTACATTCTTGGCTTCTATCATTTGGCTTTTAAAAATGCTTTCAGAGAACTTTTGCAATGGCTTCCCATTCTGCCCCCAAATTGTCTTAGGGTTCTCTAATGACTCAGGGTTCGGAGGCATTATTTTCCACCCCTCAATGGGAATGACACGCAGTCCTTAGAGCCAGCAGAGAGAAGTGAGTGCGAGTCTAGAGACACCTCTTAACCCCAAACTGACGAAAGGCTGGTGTGACGCTTGTCCGAGGACAAAGCTGACTCCCCATCAGGCTGGAGCTTCCACAGAACCGCTGGAAAGAGGAGAGTGATTTGCTGACACAGGTTCATGGGGACCATTCATCTTAGTTAACGAAATGCCAAGTTATAAAAAAATACCTTTTGCATCCTGGGTCCACCCAGCATTTTGTTCACACACTAACAAAAATTCATTATAGGCCATGCTTTGCAATGGCAGGTCGTGAGGACACACCGTCTTACCTCACCCTGGTACAGTATGTCGGAAACTGGGCAAATGACGCAGGCCGTGCCGGTGCCGAACATCTCCCTCACTCGGCTCTGCTCCAGGGCTGCCGTCAAGTCCCCCATGGTGAGGTGCCTCTCCGACACCTTGAATTCTCCCTATTTGCAAAAAAAAAGGGGGGGGATTCAAGAGACATGGAGACATTTTAACAAAAAAACCCTCATTTCTACTTTCCATTCCTTCTGAACCCAGATAACATCACGTCATCCTCAGAAGGAAAGCCGAAGAAAGCAACACCATCTCACTGGTAAACACACTGATGTGCTAAGCAACCTGCTCCCAAGTCACAGCCTCTCTAAACCAGATGATCAGAATATAAAAGATAAGATGGTCATTATAAAATGCATGGTATATTTTAATACTTGTCAGCTTTTTTCTTTCTTTTTTTTTGCTTTTTATTTGTTGTCATGGCTGAAGCTTCACGAGGTATGCGCGGCAGTGCTGCGTAATTGGTGTTCTATGCTAACAGTGTCTTAGGTCGTCTTTATCACACAAAAGAATATGGCGTCCTAACATTGATCATTATAGCTACCATTTATGGAGCATCCGCTGCATGCCAGGTCCTCTCGTTTCTACAGTGGGCGTTTTCATCCCCATTTTGCAGATGAAGAAGTAAAGGGTTGAGGAAGCTGAGCAACAGCCCTGGGGCCACACAGCTAGTAAGTGGCAGAAAGTACATCTGAATTCAGGCCTGATCCAACTTACTCCAAATGTGCTCCTTGTTCTACTGTGTCTTTTACACAGTAAAAACATGGACTGCGTTTAAATACCTGAAAGATTTCATTATTTTAAAATATCGAAAGTATACTTGGACTTCATCTGAGAAAGTGCACTGTATATTTTTTCTTCATAAATTAAATTCACCGATTCAGTTGACTTTACAGCAGTAATTCCCTCCCTTCTTCTTAGTGCTGTAATAGACTGAGTTTTGTTGCACAATTATTGGTGTGACCTCATCACAGACCTCATCAGCTTCTGCTGAACTATCTCAACGTTTTATGTGCTCCAGGATAAGAAACGAAAACAAAAAAACAATTATTTTTAAAGCTATCTGTTTAAGCTATCTATTTAATATGCATTCTTTCATCTGTGTAATTCTTACTCTTTTAGTGGTTAAAGTTTAAAGTTCATCAGCAGGTCACTTTAATTAAGGACAACAAAGAATGAATAGATTTAAAAAAATAAAGGAGAGTATTTTTTTAAACCTACAAACCTTCAACAGATAAAAATGGAAATCATAGCCACTGGGAAGATTCAAAGCACTAGGAGAAGAATGCATCATGCTGTAAGTCCGTTATTTGGAAGGGCAGGGGAAAATGCCTATGGCAGAAATATGGCTTTTTGCAAGTTTCAATTTATCTTAGTCTATAATTTCAATTATTTTGTTCAAAGGTAAATAAATTCCAGAAAATCAGCCAAGTTAACCGAAAATAAGCTCCGCGTTCTGGAAAAGAAAAATAAAATCTCATAAATATACAGAATTGTTTTTACTCTGCTCACTCTTACTTATCTTTGGACAATTTTCCCTGTCTGGCAAGTCACGGTAACCCCCCGCATGCCTCTTGGCATTTATGTCTCACTGTTTTAAAATAGCTTTTAAAATAAATTACAGCGAGGAGTCAAGAAAAAACTTCCCCCATAATAACCTATTTTCATGCTAGCAAATCATTAGTGTGGGAAAGCATTTCCACTTGCAACTTGTCATCCAACCTTCTGGACTTAGTTGAATTCCTTCTTTAATAAAACAAAAATTACTGAGCTTCGAAACTACATCTTTCCAACTGCAAACATATTTAGGACAGGGCAAGCTGTTTGAAATTATACAAACAGTTTGTAAATGTCATGCCCAATGTGCCAGCCAGCATGTGGCAGTTGTGCTATAAATAATCCTAAAAACCCTGTAGTAGACAAGGCCCAGTTCCTCTATTTCCAAAGTCTTTTCCAGAGGGACTATGCTAATACTCTCCTAGATAATGGGTGTGTTTCTAAACATTTGCCCCATTAGTACAGTTTGACCACAGCTTGCTCAAAGCCTTTTCATGTGCCCTGAACATCGGTTTAACACATGGGTCAAAAGTTGGACCCAAGAACTTTTGCCAGATAACCAGCTCATTCAACATTCATCTTGAGTATGTTACAATGTCATTTCCAATACCAAACAGTTTAACATGCTTGCTTGTGTCACAGGAATCAGAACGTCTACTGACAACAATTGTACACTTGCTTGAGTGCTTTGGTTTTAAAATAAGCATGTGTGTGAACTTGGGAGTAGAGGGGGCAGGAAGGAAGGAAAAAGAAGGCAGCTAAACTAATAATGTCATGTTAGTAAATATTTATGTTGGTAAAATTCTTGAATTTCTTCACTAAGCATGTTACACTGGAATAAATAGAGGAAGAGAAGAACTATGCATCACTCATCGCCACGTGGAAACAAAACACTTAGACTTGAAAAGGTAAGGGCTGGCTAAAAGGAAGCATGCGAAGTACAAACCAGGTGAGTTGGAAGGAGACACCAGATACAGAGCTTGAGACCAGTGCTGGAATAGTTCTTCACTAGGACAACCTGCCAAACGGGTTCTCTCTGCCCACCGTATAAACAATACTTATTTGATAGTCTTGCCAAAACACCCCTGGAAGAGTTCTTTTCACTCAAATTAAGATTAAAGATTAGATAACATTGGTTGCAACGACAGGATACTTATTTCAGCACTAAGCGGAGCGTACTGTGATTTTTTTTTTCATGCTTATAAAAGTTGTTCATGTCAAAGACCCACCCACTTGCGAGCCAGGTCCAGAACGCTCTGCCTCGTCACTCCTGGAAGAATGATGCCATCTAGTGGTGGAGTTGCCAGTTCTTCCTCTGTCAATTAGAAATTGGAATATTTTCAAACATTAACTGTATTAGCCATGCCTTATATCAGTAGCCATTAAAAAAAAAACCCTGCTTTTTACAATTTTGCTAGTAATAAACATGGAGATAATGTTACTATTCTGCACTGTTAAATTTCTCAAATCTATTCACCCTTCAGGTGGATCTTTATTAAAAGAAAAAAAAGTTAAGGAGTGAAAGGAAAAAGAAGGAAAAGAAAGAAAAAAAGGCAAGCCACTCATCTAATCAGCTTTCATGTATCTGCAACCAGTAAAAAAGTGAGGTGGTTTTTCACTAAAAAACAGTAAGAGTCACAGAAGACACAAGAGGAATATCTGAAGTCATATTTTACTTTAGTGGACTAAAGCTGATCAGTAATTAGAATGATATAGATAGCATCTTACTAAAGAACAGTGGTCATTACCAAACCTTTACGAATACTGTGGGGGAGCCCACCCAAGAAGTGTGGATGCCTGTGCTTGCCGGCCACTGCTCCCACACCCCCCTTTGACAAATCTCTCTCTAAAGTGATTTTTAAACCGTAGAATTACTACCCATGTCATGTATGGAGTTGCTGACTTCACCCTCTAAGATGCAATGTAATGGGCTCAGGATGGGCTCAAGCATCTTTGTGGCTAACAAAATAGAAAAGAAAAAAAAGAAATCCAAAAAATCAACACAAAATTTCAGAGATGACGCAGAGAGCCAAGGCCTCTGAGACACTGGTCCACTCGAGAAAGACCATGGGCGCTCCAAAGCACCGTGAGGCCTGGCATGATGGCCGGTCTACAAGAGTCAGTGTGGTCTGTCAGCCACAAACACTCCTTAAAGAAGGAACCCTCCAATAGCCAGCTTCGCCCTCTCTTCCTCACGTCTGGCACCCAGAAATCTTCATCTTGTGAGAAATTCAAGTCTAACTCATTCATTGCTTTATGAAGATGTTAAAGCTCGTAACAGACAATGTGTTGCCCAGCATATGTTTGTCGAGTAATTCACAGGGTGTGCTTGAAAGGATCACCAGGTGACAAAAGCAGGTGTAGAAATCATAAATGGTGTCTCTGAGCTCGCCCAAGCCATGCTGTGCAGCTAACAGGGACTTTGGAAATCACTTAGTGCAATCCTTATTTTACAGAAGAAACCAAAGTCCTATAAACATAAGCAACTTGTAAGGTTGGCGATACTGGGGGATGGACCAGAAGTGTCACAACACAGGGGTCTCTTTCCCTCTCCCTCAGTACCCTGAGGTCAAGGCTGGCCTACTCTACCGCAGTCACATCAGACATCCCCAGCAAACAAGCCATCTAGAAGACCGAACTCTACATTTACTCCCAAGTCCCCCAAACCCAAGCATTCTCCCTGGCTCAGGGTGGTGTGTAGTAAGTGTTTTTGTGCTTAAACAAACAAACAAACAAACAAACAAACAAATAATCCTCTTTGCTAGGATACAGCAGTGTGATTTTTTTTTTAATTTTGTTTTTAAAAATCATGTGCTGAAAACCGCTTTCTGGAAAGAGGGAAATTTGGTCTTGGCAATGCCCTTGGGGCTCCTCGTTATCATGTTTGAAATGTTACTCTCAAAAAATAAACCTGTGCTTTGCAATAGCTAGCTAGCTCGTCACACGAATGTATGGATCTACGTGTGTGTGCGTGTGGATATGCACACACACACCACACAGGTAGAAAACATGCTTCTGGTGCCCCCAAACTGGCCCTTTCCTAAAGCGTGCTGAGCTCTAAGACGCCATCAAGTTCCATGTGAACAGCGGCCCTGTATTTGCAAATGCAGCTCTGTGAAATATATTTAACACCCAAACTGTAACCACTAGCCTGAGGTCAAGGAACAGAACATCTGTTTCTCTGGTTGCCAGACAGAGATGATGACAGGACAACATTTGGGTGAGAAATATTCATTTTCCTCTGCAACCACAAACATGCTTACAGGAGCCAGAACCGGCTCCAGATTGCCCAACATGAGGAAAACAGAGCCTACAAATGTAGCTTGTTTTTGACAGAAAAACCGTTTTTAGGAGCTGAGGAATTTGGAAGCAATAACAGCAGGATTCATCTGTGACATCCCAAAGTCAAGCACTAATGGGAACCAGGAATGTGGGTTTTGTCAGTGCCCCAAATACCATCAGCACAGTTATTCGTTTATTCAACAAATCTGCAGACGGGCCCAACTCCATGATGGTTTGACTTAGGGCTTTTTGACTTTAAGATGGTGTGAAAGTCATTCTCGTTCCGTAAAAAACAAACTTTGAGTGTTGATCTGTTCCCGGGCTGGAGGTGTATGCCCTGGGACACTCTCTCCTGGTGCTGGGCAGCAGCAGCGAGTCGCTGCTCCCCATCAGCTGCGTCGTCACGAGGGTACACAACTGATACTGCACGTGCAGTGTGTCACCACCGTTTTTTGGCTATGGTGCTCTGAGCACATTTCAGGTAGGCTAGGCTATGCTCTAATGTTTGGTACGTTAGGTGTATTAAAAATGCATGTTTAACTTTATTTTCAATTTAATGATGGGCTTATCAGGATGAAACTCCATCGTAAGGAGCATCTGTATATTGGATGCCTACCACCTGCAGTTGGCTGTCTGTGCATGAAGGATACAGCAGTGAGCAGAACTGATAGAACTCCCTGCCTGCTTTCTAATAGACAGAGGCAAATAATTATTATGTTAAATGGTATGTTAGACCATGGAGAAAAAAGAAAAGAGAAAAAGTGACAAATGCTGGGACATGAGGGGGAGGAGGTTGCCATTTTTATTAAGGTGCCCAATGAAAGCCTTCCTGAGAATGGGAGATGTGGGCAAAGACTGAAAGGCAGTGTAGGAGGGAGCCAGCAAAGCCCATGGGCACTGGAGGAAAGAGTGCTCCAAGCAAAGTTGGTGTAAACGCCTGATGCCCAAGAAGTCTCCCAGGGCCTGAGCAGACTGAGCAACATCCACACGCACTGCCATGACTGTTCTCCCAAACTGTCTATGAACTCAACCACAATAACTGAGTCCAATTCTCAGGTGGCTCTGGGGTCCAGGACAAGGTAAAAATTGTTCCAACAGTGAATAGCAAGTGTATGTCTTAAACTACTCATCAGCGAAGCGGAAAAGAGAATTGGGTCTGTGTGGTCGTACCACCGGGGTGCCGTTACTGCAATCACAGGCCACACGTGACAGAACACATGCCGCAGGGAGTCATCCTTCATGGCGCTGCCCTATGAACAGAGGGTCCACCTGACCAACCTTCCTGGGCAGCCATTTGTCCAAAAGAATCGGGGAAAGTGGGTGCTCGTGGAAGACAGCAGGTTGTCACTAAAAGAGCTGGCCTTTTACCTGTTGTCAGTAAAGCTTGTGAAAATCAGTATTTTGCCAATTTTCAACTTATTATTCTCTATATTTTCATAAAGCTACATGGTTAAATCAAAGTTACTATAGAGTTGCCTCAATGTCTTCTTTTGGTTTTAGCCCAAAGGCTACTCCTAACATTCTACTAACTCCTTTCATAGTACTGTCCAACATGTATTCCATTTCTTTTCTCCTTACTGCAGCATTTATTTAATCCATTAGGTGAATACCCTCAAATTGAAGGGGCCCCATTCACATGAAACACTGAAGTTATCTCGGGCCACCATAATCTGAATAATAACTCTTAAGGTCTTGTATATTTTATAAGAATCAGAAGACAAATTCACTCATTTCTATTCTGACCTTTAAAAGCCATAGTGGAAATGGTCCATGATAATTGTTTGTATAAGGGATAATTTTTCACCCAGACTGTTTCTGGTTAAATCATGTAGCTCTGGTTCAGACTGTGCTTAAATCCTGACATCTCCCATCCAGAAATAGTGATGTGACACTTCTGTCTGATGTAACTGTTTTTGTTTGGAGTGGTGTGGGTTTGGGGAGGCGGGAAGAGAGTGAGAGTGGGCAGGTGGGAAGAATGAGTTGGATCAATCTATTGTCTCCTAAGTGCAGAGTTCAACTCTGGTTGTCATCTTTGGAGCACGGATTTTGATATACGTCATATGCAGTAGCTCAAATTTAGAAATCACAAATATTCTGGTATAAATGATATTTTTAAATAGTGCCAAGTATAAACAGCAGGAATGGGAGAAGGAATATGACCTGTATCTGCCTCTTCACACACCAAGGATTACCAACGGCCAATCCCAGGACGCAGTGTGCTCCCACCTTCGTTTATTCTGCCTCTCGCTGGAATGCAAGGCTCGATCTTATTAGTCTCTGCAACTAATGCCCAAATTGGTGTCTGGCTCTAGTGTCATCCATGAGTCACCATTTTCCTCTATTTGTAGCCCAATTAAAAAAGAGCAATAGAGACTACTCTAGCTACTTCAAAATAAAAATTTCATTTAAAATTTTATTTGAGCCCTGGCTGGTGTGATTCAGTGGTTTGAGCGCTGGCCTGAGAACCAAAGGGTCACTGGTTTGACTCCCTATCAGAGCAAATCCCTGGGTTTCCGGTCAGGTCCCCGGTTGGGGGAGCTCAAGAGGCAACCACATATTGATGTTTCTCTTCCTCTCTTTTTCCCTTCCTTCCTCTCTCTCTCAAAATAAGTAAATAAATAAATACATCTCATAAATAAATAAATAAATAAATAAATATTATTTGAAACCAATATTAGACTCTACAGGTATTGGGAAATTATTCAATAACATTTTACATTTCTATGATCAGTACTGTGAAATTAACAGCCTCAAAATGCAAAACAAACCTAAAAATGTTTTTAAAATATTTTATGACTATTAAAATTCTACTAGAAATAAATGTATACATCTGTATTCTCACCCCACCCCCATTATTGGCCATTTAATTCAGTACCACAGTAGCACTGAACTTCACTGAACTTATATGGTCTCTTGGCAACTAATAGTAAAAAAGAAAACAGCAAAGAGACACAATGAGCATTCAGGATATTAAAGACACTAAAGAAGTACTGATTTTTATAGTAGACCTATGAGTATATTAATAGACTTAAATGAACCAGGATCTAAGTACAATCCCAAGATAGAGCAGTATGTCTTTAAAAATAGTGTTCTTCAACCAAATTGAGCTCCAGAGTATATCTGCAAGGCTCGTGAAACATTGTGAAAATATGTATGAAGGGCAACAATGGTTGAAAGAATTATAGCAAGGGAGCATACTAAATGTCACATCAGCAGAATCAGTAGGTTGTGTTTTTTACTATAGCATTTCATTCACAGTATGTGGTGTATGATCACTGAATTGATTTGAGAGCTATCTCCAAATACAAGGGATTTCCAATCAGAAAAATGTTAAAGACAGTAAAAGGGGTAAGGCAGCAAATCTTCAAATTGTGTGGATTTAAATTCCTTAAGTTGACATCTCAATAACAAGTACATCTAGAGTCAAAACAACAAAAAACAAAACCATCACAAATTATGTAAACTCACAATCTATATGGATGGCAAAAAGCACAGTATTCTTAGACATTGGAATTGTGCTACTTATTCCCTTGTTCTGAGGTTCTAGTTCTTATCTTCCCAATCCCACTGAAAATGATTGAAGGAAAAAAAAAGTAAGGAGCTGACATCTGAGTGCATTACCTCCATCTTCATTTATCCAGTAAAGGAAAAGATTCATAGTTCCCACTTCCGTTATCTGGTTCTCCTCTCCATAGAGCCACAGAACCTGATGGCACCCGTTACCCAAGGCTTCGTACTGGGCGAGAAGAGATGAGCCATAATTCCTTTTAAGAAATAGGAAACATAGTGATTACGAATATACTTCAGCCTTTACCCCCATTTTTATGTTAGAATACTCGTCTTTAATTCACCCATGGATGTGATCAGTGTACTATGTCCTTAATATACATATACTCTCTAGTTAACAGCGTAACATTAAATCAGAACCTAAATGAGCTAACTGCACTGATTTGAAAGAGAGAAAGAGAGAGTAAAGCAAATTGTGGAACTCTAACTTGAAAAGTTGAGATACGAAAACGCAGACAAATAGCCAAACTGATAAATGTTGAAAGTTAGTGAGTATTTTTTCATCTACCAAACAATGTTACATGCATTATTTCATTTAAATCTCACACCAGGACTGAGTCAGCTCCTATGATTATTTCCCTGATTCAGAGGAGAAGCTGAGGCACAGAGAAGTAACTTGTGTCAAGTAACAGCAATTAAGTAGAAGAACATCAAGTCCGTGCTCTCTTACCTGAGACCTTTCAATATACCTAAGAAATGTCTACATTCCCGAAGATGTGGGACAAGATGTTAAAAATCCATATTTTAACAAAAAAGTATTCTCAAAGCCCATTTTCCTCAACCTGCACTGTTTATCTCGAGTTACTCAAAAATCAAAGGAACATGATACATCTTCCTAGAATGGCAAATCAGTTTGATAATATTTTTAATTTATTTTTTATTCAATTTAAATGGCATATACTGCAAGGTATGAATGAATGTTTAAAAAAAACATGAGAGTCCTCAAATAAATGTGATGCTTACTTGACCCTCAGCCCCTGCTTATATCATTCTCTTTCCTTGGCTTTCAGAGAACATGAGCAAACAAGTTTGAAAAGCATGACCATATCACTGTCAAAGTTAGGAAACAAACCCAAGACCCACTATTGCACAGTGAAGCTCCCAGAAGTACACAAAAACAAGCAACTGCCGAATATAAAATAACTACAACAAAGCAATAAAGTTATCTTCCACAAAATACCCTTCTAGGCCTTTTAAGTGGTCACTTTTACATATAAGCAAGATGAAAATGTAAAGTTTTGCCTAAGTAAACATTTCAGTTAAGCACAAGAGCCACACAGTACAGTGGCGATCCACCATCCTCACCTGCACAGCAGCCATTCTCACCTGCGGGGCTTCCCTTCCCTCCACAGTCCCCATGGCACCTCCTATGCAACCAAGGCCTTCTGCCTGGGTTGACAGTCTAGCATCTTGCCCTGCACAACTGAATTAAAGGGCGGGTGTGTAGCTGCTCATGTAAATTCTTCTTTGAGTTCATTTTAATCTTTAGGATGTGAAAGATAGTGTATTCTCACTTCAAGGATGGGGGCCGCTTATTTGCAGGGGTCTACTGTGTCCCTGATCACCAGCCTTCACAGGAGAAGACACCTGAAATTGGAGAGCCCTAGGCTAACACTTGGCCAGACACTATGACAAGAGATGGGGGTGGGAGGGAGGTTGATAGGACACATGCAAGGGCATATGAAACCTGGCAAGCACAGTATAAGCCCTCCACGGATCCACTGCTGCCCCCTACCTAGATGAGCCAATCGATCCTTTTCCTGCTTAAAATGGCTTGAGTTGGTTTTCTAACTTGCAACTGAAAGAATGTTGACTAATAACGATTCTAGAAAGCTATGAGAAATAAGCATTATACTCCATGGCTATAGCAATCTGGGGCATGAGAAGGTTTACTCACATGGAGGAATATAAGAGTCATTAAAAAAGGACATATGAAAAGATGCTCAATGACACTAATTATCAGAGAAATAAAAATTAAAACCACAATGAGGCCCTAGCTGGTGTAGCTCAGTGGATTGAGCGCAGGCCTGAGAACCAAAGCATCGCCTGGTTTGATTCCCAGTCAGGGCACATGCCTGGGTTTCAGGCCAGGTCCCCAGTATGGGGTGTGCTACAGGCAACCACACATTGAGTTTCACTCATTTCCTTTCTCCCTCCCTTCCCCATCTCTCTAAAATAAATAAAATATTTTTAAAAAACACAATGAGATATATCATCTCATATCTATCAGATTGGCTATTATCAATAAATCACCAAGCAGCAAGTGCTGACGAGGATGTGCAGAAAGGGGGACACTTTTGCACTGTTGGTGGGAAGGCAGACTGGTGCGGCCACTGTGGAAAGCAGTGTGGAGATACCTCAAAAAATTAAAAATGGATCTGCCTTTCAACCCAGTGATCTCACTTCTGGGAATATATCCAAAAGAACCCAAAACACTAATTCAAAAGAATATAAACACCCTTATGTTCGTGCGGCATTATTTATAATACCAAGATACGGAAGCAGCCCAAGCGTCCATGAACACATGAATGGATAAAACAACTATGGGACATTTACACAATGGAATTCTACTCGGCAGTAAAAAAGAAGAAAATTTTACCCTTTACAACAGTATACGTGAACCTGGAGAACATTATGCTACGTGAAATAAGCCAGTCAGAGAAAGACAGATACCATAGGATTTCACTCATATGTGGCATCCAATGAGCAAACTGAACTAACAAGAAAAACGGGCACAGACTTACAGAAGGAGAACAGGATGACGGCTGGAGCAGGAGGTTGGGTGAGGGGGTGGAGGGACTGAACAAAAAGAAAAAAAATATCATGTGTTGGACAACAGTGTGAGGACTGCTGGGGGAGGGGGCTATAAGGTGACTAAATAGTAATAAGAAAAAACACAAAAAGATTTTCAAAATGCAGATAATAACATATAAATTATTGGTTAATCTAAAGATGATATAATTTTGTCATGTAAGGCTCTTATTTAATAAAAATAACATAACCTTTATCTAAAATTGGTGATGAATAGGCAGTAACTGAGTTACATTAAAATAGGTGTGAATAGTGAGTGTTAACCCAACTTTAGGGGGAGTCCAGCAGAGAGCCTGGGTGGCTCTTGCACTTCTCCTCTTTGGCTCTGTGTGAACTCAGGTCACAGTTTTTGGCTCACTGAATTCATCTGACAAATGAAAACTCTTGCTTTATACAAATACTACATAGGGTTATATGCGGAAAATAAAATAATAACAATAAAAAGCTAAGAAACAGGTTACATAAGGCTGTAATATGTAAAAAAATATGTAACTATTATAATTGACTTTTTTCTAGTTCACAGATACAACTGTTGAGATTTTACCATATCTGACAATAGGCAAATTATTTTTCTCATAGTAAAATTCCATTTTTTTACAAAAACACATGTAGAATTTTCACAGTATGAACATTTAGCCTTTGGAAGAACCTTCTAAAAATAAAAACACACACACTTTTGAGAGTATGGCAGAATTATAACGACAGCTCCTCACAGCATAAAGCTGCAAGGGCAGAAAAGAGAGTTAAAGCACACTATTTAAGTGCATTGGGAAAAAAAAAAGGGTTTTGTTTGGTTTAATTATCATATTCTATACATGGTATTTTTTTCTAAACATATTTTTTCTCAAATTCTCTCTGTATTATTAACATCCTCAGGGTAGGTGATACCTTAACAATATGCATATGTTTGGGTTCATTCCCATATACTACCAATGTTCAGGAAAGAGACACATTTCCTTGGAGGAAAGACAAAAATGAAAAAACCGTCTACATAAAAATTTTAATATAATTTTAAATACAATAAATATCCAAGAAAAGAGATATTAAAGACATTTCTCCAAAAGAGTAGAAAAAGCCTCACAATATCAACTAATGTCTGTTGAGAGGTTCCTACCTGCCAGATAGGGTACTAGGTAAGTTACCCCATTATTTCATTGGCTCATCCTAAAACAAGCCTAGACTTTATTATACTTTTGAGGATTGGCAGGCAAAGAGGACTTAATTGTACAAGATCACACAGATAAAAGTGTATGAGTCCCAGACATCTGACTCCTGAGCCCATGCCCTATTCACTGCCACCACACTTACTGAGAGCCTTCCATATGCCAACCATGGTGCTGGGCACTCCTCACAGGGATGGCGGGTACCACTGCCCTGATGTTATAAAGCAGGAAACTGAGGCTTAGAGCAGTTAAGTGGCATGCCTAGTGCAGTTCAGTTTTTAAGCCAGGTCTTTTTAACTTCAAAGCCTGCACTCAAGGGAGGAATAAGAATGCAAGAAAAAGCAAAATTAAGATGTGGGGAAGGGGCAGGCAGGCCTGATGTTTCCAACTTACCGTATTTCTCAGACCATAAGACACACCTAGGTTTTAGAGGAAAACAGGAAAAAAATTTTTGAAGCAAAAAAAATGTGGTAAAATATTTAATAACATAAATAACATACTGTTTCACCAATGTTAATGTAAACAGAACTCAACAGCAGCATTAAGAACCATTATTCCTCCCAAATTTGGGGAAAAGTGTGTCTTATAGTCTGAAGACTACGGTTAACTAAGAAACTAAGATACTGCCTAGGAATGAATATACTCCTACGATGAAAGATCTTCTGGCTCAGTATTTCTCAACTCTGGGGGCACATTTTAAAAATTCTGATGCTCAGGCTATATCCCAGACTCAGGAAACCAGAATCACGAGCAGCGGGACCCGGACATTAGTAGTAGGCACAGATCTCTGGGCAATTTCAGTTTGCAGCCACAGGTGAGAAGTGGGCGCTAGAACTCTCCTTAAGCTGTGTGCCATGTATGACTTTTCTCATGTCTATTTAGAAACAAAAGGATAATATTATCTCTGAAGACTTCAAAATAATGGAACCATCTTAGAATTTTTTTAAAAATCCTTCTCTCTCTCTCAGATGCACTTAGAAAATGTTTGAGCTTATGAGATTCGACAGCTTTTTAAGTAAATGCCAATTGATGGGAAAAGTCCTTAAAAAGGCTTAGAAAGCAACTGTTGAGTTAATTAGGGTTAGAGAATATGCAATAACATGTGAATCTAAAGTTGCTGCCAAAATGCCCCTACCAAGTCAACAGGTTGATACTAAATGCAGAACTACTTGTTTCCCTTGCACCCACCCAGGCTGGAGGTAGGGAGCTCTAGAACTCCTTGGAAACAACAGGTAGATGGGTTCCAAGTCTATTCTTTTGGTTATCGCCTTCCCACTGGTGATCCTTGCTTGTATGTGTATTTATGAGATCAAATACTTTTCTCTCAAGGAGATTTCAAGTCAACTTCTACTGATCTGCTCTACCTAAGCCTAGTGAGTCAAAATATTAATTATTTTAAAATATGTACTTTAGCCGTGGCTGGCGTGACTCAGTGGATTGAGCACTGGCCTGCGAACCAAAGGGCCATCAGTTTGATTCCCAGTCAGGGCACATGCCTGGGTTGTTGGCCAGGTCCCCAGTAGGGGGGGGTATGCAAGAGGCAACCATACATTGAAATTTCTTTCCCCCTCTTTCTCCCTCCTTCCACCTCTGTCTAGAAATTAATAAAATCTTTTAAAAGTAAATAAATAAATAACAACCAGCCCACATAGAAAAACTAAAGACATCCCTGCGATTTCTCAATGTCCTCATGTTAATTTTTTCCCTAGGCAGGTAGGGGGAGCTAGAAAGCAAGACATAAGGAAGAAAGTCTATTTTAAATTATGACCTCTTTATTGACTGCGGATTTACTGTATGTGCACTCTAAGAGAAGCTTTAACAAAGTATACTACAGAGGGTATGCAGTGTATATAAAGACGTCTGAACAAGATAAACAGAAACCAAGGGAGTAAACAGAAGTCGTTTCAACCTGGGCAGCGGAGTATATCTAGGAAGGGGTGCTCTACACCAGAAGGAAAAGAAAGTGACTTCTTGGTTTAACAAACCGCACTAGGATTTCTTTATCTATTGACAGAATGCAGTTTCTACATTGAAAACAGGGATGATAGGACGTAGAATTTTATAACTTTTGGGGGGTAAAAAATAAAGAAACACAACCCAAGGGCCAAAGTTTGCTTCAGCATCTCTCTCACAGCCCAGCAGCACGTCTCCCAGGGTTTCCTGAATCTACATTTTGTACCTGGGCCCAGAATATCGCCACTGAGGACCCCTGCAGGGCCGCTGCTGCCCCAGATACATGATGCACATAAGCACTTGGTGGTCACAAAAGAAGAGTCCACACTGGTTAATGCAGCTATTCTTGCTCACCCATAGGGGCATTCCCCAGTCACAGCCAAGTCCACCTCAGAAATTGTCTAACACTTTTCAAATGCTCTTTTATTTCCAGCCAGCTACATATGGCCTATGAGACTGGCCTGACAGAGCCAAAGCAGGGCTGTCCCTCAGCCAGTTGGCAGCAGGTATGGCTACAATCTGTGGCAATGAAGACAGCACTTGAATGAAGCAGGCACATTCCCCAGACAGGACTCCCTGGAGCCATCGCTGGGCCTTGGCCCCAGCACCAGACGCTCTTTAACGCCAACTGACAGCCTGCAGTCGGAGGACCAGCGTCCAGGGGCAGTTCATTCAAAGCACCAATTTAAATGATGCTTATGCAGAACACCCAACATTTCTCCCTATAAAGGGCCACAGGTTTTCCTTCAAACAACTACCACAGTGAAAACACTGAAAACTAAACACAAAATAAAAATGAGCATTACAAATGGAATGTTACTATATGTATTTGTATTGAAGTGAAAAGGCAACTAAATGGTCATGAGGAACTCTTTCCTGAAGACAGACACGCAGACTTACTTACCCTCCCATCTTACAGTCCCCGGTCCCACCTTTCCAGGCTCGTACAAACTTCGGATTGGCCCACAGAGACACTGGCTCAAAGGTTTCCTTTGAAAAGTAAGGTCCCACTGGGCTCAGGATCACAAAGATCATGGCTTTCGTAGGCTTCTTGACTCCAAGGGAAGGCTGCAATAAAGGAAGAGTACACGCAACTGTCCATTTCAAATGTCAACACTAGTCTCAGAATCTAGGACAGATCTGTGACTATCTCCCAAAGGGGCCATCTACTAACACTGGAGCTGTTACTCCTAACACTGACTTACGCAAAGCCTGACAGTCTTCTAACAAGAAAACACAGAGAATTGAGTGCTTACATTTCATTTTGCTTTGCTTTCTGAGTTGTTTTGATTTTAGAGGGAAATCAAACATGACCATTTTTATTTTAGGAGGGTTTTTAGAGAAAGATATTTTTAACAACTAGCTATAGAACCCCCTTCAATGTTGCAATGACTGGAAATTGAAAAAGAACTCAGACATGGTTTTAGTGTTTGGGAGTGAAATATAATATTTGCTTCTCTAACTTCACCTTCTGCTACCACATGCACGACAGGTCCCAGACAGCAAGAGTGTAGCTACGCTACAGACGAAGACACCAGACAAGATGAACGGAGCCCACAAAAGGCAGAGGATAGGACTCAGGAACCTGCGTCATGAATGGCAAAGACAGAAGCTGGCCTTTGCAAAACGCATTCATCACAAGCCAACAGTGCAAAACCATACAAATGCCTTCAGCACAACAGCATTTAAACTAATGACCTTTAGTTCTTGATTAAGGAGAAAAATTGAGAGGCTGGAAGTTTTGAGGGCTATCAGATAGGCCACAGAGCTCACTGGGCTGTCTTGTGCCACTCTGGACACAAGACATAAGAAAACAAGTCAGGACTATTACACTGAGAGTCTCAGAACATAAAATGCTTATGTTGAGTCTTCATTAGAGCCTGCTCTGGCTTGGTTAGGGTAGGAATCAGTCAGGGAAAAAATGAGAGGAAACTCAATTCCAATGGATTTGTGGCTTTTGTTATGTCTGGTGAAACAGGTGAAAGTAGATCTCGGGAATTTTTTTTCTGAGTTTTAATTATATTTCCCACTCCACTACCTTGGCCCTGCTCCCCCTACCTATGCCCAGGTCATCAAGAACCAGGCAGGTCAGAAATTTGTGAGCATAAAGAAGTGTATCTGTATATGTGCACACCAATGCCATCTGAAGGGCGTGCTACCCTTGGGACAAGGAAAGCTGATTGCACTCACATTCCATGTAAACATGAGCACTAGCCTCAGTGGCCACACAGCAAATAGATACCAGCTGACGGGTAACCACATTAAAGAAATTAGTTAGCAAGCAACAGGTTTGGTTTGTTTGTGTTTGTTCTTTCATGGGGGCTGAGGCTCCCCTAACCAATAAAGGATGCAGAGCCTTAAAGCTTTATTCACCTTTTTTTGGTTTCATCGTTTGGGAGAGAACACCTCAGAATGCATGCATCTGTCTTTCTTCTCTGCTTTCATAAAGCCTGTCTTTTCTCTGCATTTTTTCACCTATCAGTTGAGTACAACGATCTCTTCCTATCAGAGGAGCTTTATAACTTAGTATTTTATATTTTTTATGTACCCTTATATTGAATAATTAAGAGAAGCTTCTCAACATAATTTAGAAGTACAATAGGCAAGACACAGTCTCTATCTAGCTTCTGAGTTTCTGAACAAAATAGCATTATTTAGAGATAAGCATTTTATTAGATATTATATAAATTCTTGGACTTTCTTCACTCTGAACTTATGTACTTTTTTGCAACCTGCATTACACTAAAATAGTAACAATAACTCATCATCATAAAAATTTTTTCTCAGATAAATATCATCTTATTTATTTCCATCCCCCAATGCTGACAGGCAAACTTTATATATTCCACTAGGTGGCAGTAAAGAGGGCACAAGTGGAAAATGGAATAATTCTACACATTAAATCTATTTCCTTTTTTTTGAATCCTCACCTGAGGATATTTTTCAGTAATTCTAGAGAGAGAGGAATGGGGAGAAACAGAGAAAAACATTGATGGTTTGCTTCCCGTACATGCCCCAGCTGGGGCTTAAACCCACCATCTTTTGGTGTTGGAAAGGATGTTCTAACTGACCGAGCCGCATCAGCCAGGGCAAATCTATTTCTGAGAAACGATACCTCAACAAACCTTTAAGTAATAAAGGTTTCTTTCTACTCCTAGAAAGCAGGTAAATTATAGACTAGAATTTTTCAATGCTGAAAAAAAGATGTGTTCATGTGTTCTAACATTTTATTTTCTGAAATTTAAGCAAGGTCGACTGATGTTTTATAAGAACTTCAAGTACGGTGTTGATGACAACTTAGTCACCTTCATCCTTAAAAGATTATCACATTGACTATCTTTTCATGAAAAGAGCTCTGTGACTTGACTGAATGAAAATGGTCACACTGTTTTAAAAATGGGAATAAAGAAAATGTAACTGCGTCAGAAAGACAGCTTGCTGATTGGGTTTCTACCTTCAGGAACCATTTGTTTTTTTGCCTTAATTCTCCCTTCTGTCCTCAAAGGCAATTTAAATTCTGTAGCAGTATAGAATTTAGAGTTGAGAGTACAGTTCAGAGTAGTTTACTATATGATATTAATCAAATGGCATAAACATAATTTTATAATGACAAGGTCAGGCTTCTGACCACATAAACAAAAAGCCATACAAATAGAAAATTTGAAAGACAACAGCTGACAAGTTGTGTAAATCAGTTTCAGTAAGTCTCATTTCCTTATGAACACTTTGTTTTTTTTATTTCTCTCTAGCTTGTTTTTTTTATTTCTCTCTAGTTTCTTTGATTATTTTAATACATAAGGAATTAAAGATTTATATTTCTTATTTCCCATTGAAAATAAGGAATATAAATCTCAGATGCAGAGTATATAACTTCTCAAAAAGACCAATTTCAAAAGACTTTGAGATTGAAATTCTGATGTGTACAAAACAATAACAATCTTATTTTATAAAGGTATTAAATACATACATATTTTGCACAATATAACAAGGTACTTGTTGTGATGAAAAATAAAGAGATATGTAATGGTGAAAATTACCACTCTGATTAACTCAGAAAATTAGTTTATAAAAAAGCAGAATGTCAAAGGTGATCTGCATAATATTAGAAAGAGGTCACTGAGCTGAGAAAAGAAATAACAGTCGCATGTTTTGGCTTGAAATAAAGAAAGCACTGGGGTGATGTAAAGTTTAAGAATAATTCTGCCTAAGCAAGGCAAATATAGAGTAGAAATAAGATAACTGGCAAATATGGAAACATTTTTCAAAAAGAACAGCATTCCTCTTTTTTTTTAATTCAAATAACTTATTTTTTTTCAATCTTGCCAGTTCTTTAAAAAGATTAGAGGACAGACCCAAGAGAGCAGAGGAGTAACTGGAAGCTATACTAACCTCCACCCAGGACCAAGCTGGAATTACACCTCACTTGTACAGAAATCATCCTGAATAACCAACTGAACACTAACTGGAGAGAAGCCTTATAAACACAGACAGTGTACATAGAAAACTATAGGCTCCACCAAAAAAACTACTCAATCTAATAAGTGAATGTGGCAAAGCAGTGGGATTCAAAGTTAATATTCAGAAATCAAAGGCATTTTTGTACACCAACAACAAAATATCAGAAACAGAAATCTGGGGTAAAAAAATCCCATGTGCTACAGCAACAAGGAAAATAAAGTACCTAGGAATAACCCTAATCAAGGAGGTAAAAGACTTGTACTCAGAAAACTACACAACACTGAAGAGAGAAATTAAGGAAGACACAAATAAATGGAAGCATATACCATGTTCATGGAATAGAAGAATTAACATCATCAAAATGTTCATACTATCCAAAGCAATTCATAGATTCAATGCAATCCATATTAAAATACCAATGACATATTTTACAGGTATACAACAAACATTTCAAAAATATTTATGGAATCATAAAAGACCCTGAATAGCTGGAAGAATTTTGAGAAAGAAGAACAAAGTAGGAGGATCACACAACCTGACATCAAACTATATTACAAGGCCACTGTAATCAAAACAGTCTAGTACTGACATAAGAACAGATACATAGATCAATGGAACAAAATAGAGGGCCCAGAAATAGACCCAAGTCTCTATGGCCAATTAATACTCAACAAAGGGAGCAGGAATATAAAATGGAGTGAAAACAGCCTCTTCAACAAATGGTGTTGGGAGAACTGGAGAGCTACCTACAAAAAAATGAAACTTGACCACCAACTTATACCACAAACAAAAACAAACTCAAGTTAGAGAAAAGACTTAAATATAAGTCACAATAACATCAACATCCTAGAGAAGAATATAGGCAGGAAAATCTCAGATAGTCCATGCAGCAATATTTTCACTGATAGGTTTCCTAGAGCAAGGGACATATAGGAAAGAATAAACAAATGGGACTTCATCAAAATAAAAAGCTTCTGCATGACTGAAGAAAACATCAGCAAAATGAAAAGGGAACCAAACATATGGGAAAGTATATTTGCCAATGATACCTTGGACAAAGATTTGATCTCCAAAATATATCAAGAACTCACACAACTCCACTCTAGGAAGACAAAAACCCCATTGAAAAATGGGCAAAAGACTTGAACAAACACTTCTCCAAGGAGGATATATACAGAGGGCCCAGAGACATAGGAAAGGATGCTCAGCATCACTAGCCATCAGAGAGAAGCAAATTAAAGCCACAATGTGATACACCTTCACATCAGTCAGAATGGCCATCATGAACAAATCAACAAACAAGTACTGGCAAGGTTGTGGAGAAAAGGGACCCCTAGTGCACTGTTGGTAGGAATGCGGACTGGTACAACCACTGTGGAAAACAGTACAAAATTTTCTCAAAAACCTAAAAATAGAACTGCATTTTGACCCAGCAATTCCACTGCTGGGATTATATGCCAGGAATCCTGAAACACCAGTTCAAAAGAACCTATGCACCCCAATGTTCACAGCAGCACAATTTACAACAGCCAAGTGCTGGAAACAACCTAAGTGTCCATCAGCAAATGAGTGGATCAAAAAACTGTGGTACATTTACACAATGGAATACT